TCATTTATTCCATCCACATATTTAAAAGAAAGAAACCCTGCCAGCCGTCCAAGGAACATGAACGATCAATAGAGGTTTATAAGGGGAGTGCTGTTGATGTAACCTAATAACCGCAGCATTACAAAAGGCAATAAGTGGTTTATGATAAAATGAGATGCAAACGTGTGTCTAGCAAATGTTGGAGCTATTTGGGGCCCCCAGGGGGGTCTGCGAGTCACTTGTTTTTTAATGTGGCACAAAGTGACTGTGTCAAAACCAAACTCTGCATTTTAAAGTCATTAAAACTTCACACACACACACCACCGCCCAACCCTCCACTGTAAGAAAACATTCAAATCCATCTCATAAGGCATCAGTACCAAAATGGCTGGTGTGGTAATGCAATTTCTATTTTGCTGGTTTCAGACTGCAAAAAAACCAAAACCCTTTTCAGTGGCACCTTGGTTTAAGAACAGCTTAGTTTATGAACAACTTGGATTAAGAACTCTGCAAACCCAGAAGTAGATGTTTTGGTTTGTGAACTTGCCTTGGAAACAGAACATGTTCCGCTTCCTGTTGAGTGTGTTCCATTTGTAAATTGAGTCCCGCACTGCTATGGGAAAGCATGCCTTGGTTTAAGAACACTTTGGTTTAAGAATGGACTTCCAGAATGGATTAAGTTCGTAAACCAAGGTACCACTGTACAGTGGTACCTCGGGTTACAGACACTTCAGGTTACAGACTCCACTAACCCAGAAATAGTACCTCGGGTTAAGAACTTTGCTTCAGGATGAGAACAGAAATTGCACGGTGGTGGCGCGGCAGCAGTGGGAGGCCCCATTAGCTAAAGTGGTACCTCAGGTTAAAAACAGTTTCAGGTTAAGAACGGACCTCCAGAACGAATTAAGTTCTTAACCCGAGGTATATTGATCTATTAAAGAGACACTAGGCTCTTCCACTCTTACCTTTTGCTCTGCACTTTCTAGATACTGGTCCCGGCTTTCCAAGTCTGTGTCCAATAGCTTTCTCTCTCTTCCCCTGCCTTTCTCCAGGAAAATCTTGTGTTGGGGGTGGGGGGCGTTATTTGGTTGTTTTTGTTTTTATTATGTATTTTGTACATATCAGAGACACTTGCATGCAAATAAATAAAAAAGCCAAAAATATATAAAGTGGTACCTTGGTTGTCGAACGGCTTGGCTCCCAAACAAATTGGCTCCTGAACGCCCCAAACCCAGAAGTGGGTTTTCTGGTCTGCAAATGTTTTTCAGAAGCTGAACGTCCAACACGGCTTCTGTGGCTTCCCATTGAGTGTAGGAAGTTCCTGCAGCCAATCGGAAGCCCGGTTTTGGTTTCCGATAAGTTCTGGGAGTCGACTGGACTCCCGGAATGGGTTAAGGTAAAAAGGTAAAGAACCCCCGACAGTTCAGTCCAGTCGCAAACGACTCTGGGGTTGCGGCGCTCATCTCGCTTTACGGGCCAAGGGAGCCAGTGTTTGTCCGCAGACAGTTTTGAACCACTGACCTGATTGGCAAGCTCTAGGCACAGTGTTTTAGACCACAGCGCCACCCATGTCCCTGACAACCAAGGTAAAGGTAAAGGTTAAAGGGACCCCTGACCATTAGGTCCAGTCGCAGACGACTTTGGGGTTGTGGCGCTCATCTTGCTTTACTGGCCAAGGAAGCAGGTGTACAGCTTCCAGGTCATGTGGCCAGCATGACTAAGCCACTTCTGGCGAACCAGAGCAGCGCACAGAAACACCGTTTACCTTCCCGCCGGAGTGGTACCTATTTATCTACTTGCACTTTGACGTGCTTTCGAACTGCTAGGAGGGCAGGAGCAGGGACCGAGCAACGGGAGCTCACCCTGTCGTGGGGATTCGAACCGCCGACCTTCCGATCAGTAAGCCCTAGGTTCTGTGGTTTAACCCACAGCGCCACCACTATACAAATAGACAGCTATGCATCACTACTCAATCTTATTGCTATTTAATCCAGGGATAAGAGTATATAGGGAAGTGCTTAAGCAAAGAACATAATTTTTGCCTTAGGGTGCAATCCAACCCCCCAACCCCACCAATGGGGCTTTGTGGAGCTGTGGAACCATTGCCGCCCCCACTGCCCCGCTGTACATGGCAGTCCTGGTAGAAGAGAAAGGGGAAGATGACTGGGCATGAAGTTGAGCCTGTAAATTATATTTTTGTTTGCTTGCTAAAGAATTACAAAGCTGCAAAAAGAAGGCCTTTATTTAAAAAAGAAAATAATGGTATGTCCCTTTGTAAGGATACACAAGTCACCGAGAACCAAATGCTGTTCTGCATATTCTTCTGTAAACACAAATATGTCACCAGCAGCACAAAAATTACTCCTTGGTGCAAGTTAACAGGGTCACAATGCAGCTGGGAAAACCTGGAGGTGAAGGGATAAAAACACCTGCGCTATCATATCTCCAAAGCTATATGGGGGGCAGGCGGGTTACTTAAAAAAAATAAATTAAAACTCAGGTTTTTTTTAATTCCATCCTTGTCAAAGAGAAGAAAGAGCCCAAATTTCACATGCAGAAATGGACCCTCCTGCAACAGAATGGCTCTACATTTTAAACAAGGGTATACTGCTTCAGTGCTTAACGTGTTCAGTTTGAGAACTGGGGGTCCAAAATTCTGTTTCTAGACCAAGCAAGTCATTTTGCCCAGGATATTTTCATTTGCCTAGTAGCAAAAGGTAAACACAGGTGACCTACCCAAGGTAAAGCTGTCTGCCCACCTGGGCAAGATGTGGAAGAATTCACATTAGGATGGTCATATGACCTAAATTATAGAGATCAGTAGAGTGGTACCTCAGGTTACAGACATTTCAGGTTACAGACACTTCAGGTTACAGACTCTGCTAACCCAGAAATAGTACCTCGGGTTAAGAACTTTGCTTCAGGATGAGAACAGAAATTGTGTGGCGGTGGCGTGGTGGCAGCGGGAGGCCCCATTAACTAAAGTGATACCTCAGGTTAAGAACAGTTTCAGGTTGAGAACAGACCTCTGGAACAAATTAAGTTCTTAACCCAAGGTACCACTGTACTCTGTTGGAAGTGCAGAAACAGGACAGTTGCCATTTGAAGAAGTCCTCTGTTTGACAGGCTATCCAGGCCAAGTCAAGTGTAAATAGCCCTAAGGAAAGGGATAGCAGGAGAGGTTTTGAGTTTCCTCACCAACAGTTAGCACCTGGAAAGCAGACTGAGCAGTTTGTTAAGGATGCTGAGTGTGGTTAGAAGACCCTTCATCCCCTAAAAAAGTTGCAATTCCCATAGAGGTTTAACAACCAGTTCCTCCTCCCAGGGAACTCTGGGAAATGTAGCTCCTTGAGGGGAATAAGGGTCTCAAAACACCTCTCAGCACCATTAACAAATTACAGTTTCCAGGATTCCCTGAGGGGGAGTGGAATTGTGACTATTCAGAGTGGCATGATACTGCTTTAAATATATAGTGCCTATGGGGTCTAATACTAGCCATATTTGCTTGGAAGATGAGTCCCAGTTATGTCCTCCTCGCTTGATGTTACAGCAGGTTTGGGGAAAGATTCTGAAATAATATTTATTTAATCTAAGGCTAGAAAGAGTAGTAGTAGTAGTTCCAACAAGGTTTTGCAAACCTTTAGGAGTTGGTAGAAGAATCATGTGACCAGGCTAAAGAAAAGAATACTATGGTGAAAGTTGCCCAGGCAGATATTTCATTATGCCTTGCTTGCAGAATATTGTCTCAGAACTTGGGGCGGGGAGGAAGGGGGAGAGAGAGAGAGAGAACGAAAACTCCATTAGCTCTTCTCTTTGAAGGTGACATTTATTTTCAATTCTCCTTACAATAAGATGATGAAATTACATGAACTTTAAATCAAACTTTAGTACAGCAGGATAAATAAGTCTTGCAGCTGACGGCTCTGAGCCAGCTTCGAAACAATCGCGCAGACATTACAATTTTATCATCTTAACAAATGTTTGTTTTCCATTTGCATTTGACAATGGAATTAATAAACTATTTTGCCAATTTAAGATTTATGAAACGGCTACCCCAAGCCTGCCCCCCATAGCTCCCGACACCCACTTTTTTTTCCAATTTATAGAATTTGCATAAGGGCAAAAGAGGGGCATCCTCATTCCTCCCCACTGCACTGTTTCAAACACATTTTAATTTTCATGGTAATAATAAATGCCCTAGACAACAATGGCCCATTGATCCGCAGTCTGCCTCCTACCTGCCCTAGAGCAAGAGAGCAATTGTTACATGTAAAAGATATATACAAATGTACACACACACACCCCAAAACCCAGGTAGCAAAATGTAGGCTTTAGCTGTTAATGCGTTCAATGATAATTAATATGCAGGGATAGCTAGTTGAGTCACACGCCGTTTTAGCCCCAGAATTGCATCTGTCAGTCCAAATACTCACTCCGTACGAAGCACCCAGGACTGAATCTAGTTAGACAGCTAAGTGAATTTAAACAAAAATCTGCAGATGCATGATAGATGCACAGGATGTTATGCCACACATGAATGACTCCTGAGCAGGCCAAATGACAGATACATTTCCTCCGACTGCAGGCCAGGCTCCAGCACAAACCACTCTTCATTTATCAATAATTGGGCCTTAATTTTATTTGGCAGTGGTGGAGCAGCGTGCTCAACTTCCTCTCCAATAGACTAACACTAATTAGACTTTATTTTGGAGGGGGTGATTGAGGGAGGAAGCTCGGGAGAGGGTCTCCCTTTATTTTTTGAAATTTCAGATTGGGATGCTGAACTGCAAGTGCAGTTGAGATCTGATCTTTTCCAAAGAGCTGGTTTACGCTGCACCCATCAAGTATGCTGTTGGCAGTAGCGGGCTGTGGTGTGTGTGTGTTATTCTTTATATTGAAGAACGGAGAGGGGATCTCTGTAGGGCCATCGGCTGCAGGTTTGTGTCTTCAGACTCACACAGCATCCAGAACCATTGCCAGCTCTTTGGAACAAGTGCCCTGTTTTATGAATACTTGGTAGGGCCATAGCTCAGTGGTAGAGCATCTGCTTTGCATGCAGAAGGTCCCACGTTCAATCCCATCTCTGGGGAGAGCAGGAAGAGACTGAATCATTGGAGAGCCACTGTCAGTCAATGTAGACACTTGTCCCACACTCACCCAGACCAACGACAGGCAACTGGAATTTTAGTTCTTCCTTAGCAAAAGCACTCAGTTACATCGACTCCTAAGGTACAAGTGATATTCACACTAGGTAAAGGTAAAGGGACCCCTGACCATTAGGTCCAGTCATGACCAACTCTGGGGTTGCAGCGCTCATCTCACTTTATTGGCCGAGGGAGCAGGCGTACAGCTTCCGGGTCATGTGGCCAGCATGACTAAGCCTTTCTGGCAAACCAGAGCAGCGCACGGAAACGCCGTTTACCTTTCCACCGGAGTGGCACCTATTTATCTACTTGCACTTTGACGTGCTTTCAAACTGCTAGGTTGGCAGGAGCAGGGACCGAGGAATGGGAACTCACCCTGTCACGGGGATTCGAACTGCCAACCTTCTGATTGGCAAGTCCTAGGCTCTGTGGTTTAACCCACAGCGCCACCCGCGTCCCTTCCCACTAATTAGTTGCCTAGGCAATCTACCTCTGCAGACCTGTGCTCTGTCTCAGACAGCTGGAGTACACTAGTGGCCAAAATTGTGGAAACCTTTTGGGGAAAGTGTTTGATGGCTCATAACACCTGATTGGCTCCCTAAACACTCATGCTCATTGGCTACATTCAAATGAAGGAAAGCTACTGTATATCAACCTAAGCAAGTTGTGTTTCCTTTTTCTGGTTATTTGGCTATAACTTTTGACAGAATACAGATAACTGAACAAACTTTGTTGCATTACATTCTTCATTAAATTATCTTTCCAATGATATATAATTTTATGGCAATACACCAAAAAATGTTGTGTTATGAGCCATCAAACCTTAGAAATACACTTTTCCCAAAAGGCTTCCATAATTTTGGCCGCTAATGTACCAGCATAACTATGTCACTTCCTGCTTTCTTAACCCCCTTTGTCTGAAGCTTCTGTTGGCTTCTCCTCACTCACAGCTCCAGCTGCTCCCATTGCTTCAAGTCCCTCCTTGCTCATGGAGACAGTGGAGGAGAGGATGGAGGGGATTCCAAAGGCATGGCAATCTTTGGACCTACCACAGACGCCTTCTGCTCTTTTCCCACCTCCTTCCCCCTCTGCCTCTGACTGCTTGGTCTCTTCCTCATGGCTCCCCTCTATTTCCACCCCTGGCAACTGCCTCACAGGTGGCACAATTGTTGCTGTTGTTGGCATCCGTCTGTCTCGAGAGAGGATGGAGTGCACCTCCAGGGTGAAGTCAAACTACTGGGGAATCACAGCGCCTGCTGAGGCTGCAGAGACCGGTAACTCGTAATTGCTGCCTCCTGCATTGTTTTTGCTACGTTAGCAGCAACCTCTCTGAGGTTATCAGAAGTGAAATCCTGTCCAAGAGAGGCATTATCAGAGGAGCAACAAGGAAGTAGCTCAGGTGTGGACTAACCTGTAGCTGATGGACATTCATCCCAGACTCTGCAACTCCTGGGAGCCAAAAAGGCATGCATAATGCTACAAAAGGGCCGTGTTCCCTTCTCACCTTTGGCAGAGTGATATAATCTCCGTACTTAGCACAGCTGTGCCATGCTGGAGCTGGGCAAATCAGCAGTATGGAAGTGCCAACGGCTGCTGCTGCTGCTGCACGGGCGTTTGGAGTGGGGTCGGGTCCCTAGATCAGCAGGAGAGGATGTTAGCGGCTCACGTTGGCACAGAGGTATTTCACAGGATCTTATCACTTTGATGCAGCTTCTCATAGGATCATGCCATTGGCCTTCAAAAGGCGAGATTTGTTCAAACAGCAGTAGATGTCCTGCAGAGGGCTGTCTTTCAAAAGGACACATGAGCCAACTATTCCAGGAAGGCAGAAATGAACAAGTCACAGTGGGCTTCCCAAAGGGTCAAACATTGCATAGATGTCAACAGACAACAGACAATACAAAACAGCCTCTGCTGGACAGCTACCTGAGGATGCAATGGAGACAGAGAAGTGGGTCTTTTTTGCTGCCCTCACACAGTGAGCACAATTATGTGGTCTCAGTTATGCTAGGTTGTCACTTGCACCTTACTCATAGCCTAGCCCATGGATAGGCAACCTAAGGCCTGGGGGCCAGATGGGGCCCAATCGCCTTCTCAATCCGGCCCGCGGACGGTCCGGGAATCAGAGTGTTTTTACATGAGTAGAATGTGTGCTTTTATTTAAAATGCATCTCTGGGTTATTTGTGGGGCATAGGAATTCATTCATTCCCCCCCTTCAAAATATAGTCCAGCCCACCACATGGTCTGAGGGACGGTGGACCAGCCCATGGCTGAAAAAGGTTGCTGACCCTTGGCCTAGCCTGTTTGTGTAGTTTGAGTAATTTCTACGTTTTCAGCAGGTCTTGTTTTTATCTGAAAGCCGTTGTGAGTCCTATCAGGAATAAAGTTGGTGTATATTATAGGTAGGTAGGTAGGTAGGTAGGTAGGAGATAGATAGATGATAGATGAGAGAGAGAGAGAGAGAGAGAGAGAGTGCTTTTTTCTTTAAAAATGTTTAGGGGTACTCTCATTTTGACTCAAGAAAATCATTATTTTATAGTTCAAGCTGGGAAAAATAAATACAGTAAATGGACAAAAGTACAAAGATTCACAAAACATTTAGGGGTATGTGTACCCCTGCATCCCGCCAGAAAAAAGCACTTGATAGATGATAGATAGATAGATGATAGACAGACAGATAGATAGATTTATAATCATGCAGAGTTTCACTCTGGAGTTAAAATCCCTTCTATGATTGTCTCAAATCAGATTTAGCTGACAGAAAGTTCAATGGTATAATCTGTGGCTAGACCCCCACCCCCACCCCCCGCTACCCATACTATGTTTTAAGCTTTAAGTCCTAAAATACAGCTGCTATCAAATGATTCTTTGTCTCCAAACATGGTAACTTAGGTGACTGGCCCCCTTTGCAGAGAAGGATTTAGCCCCAGGTTAGCATTAAGCACTACTGATTTGCATGAGGAATCAGCGGGCACTTGAGTTCCCTTTGGTGTTTTTAGCACAAGGCAACACTGTGTGTGTTGGCATTGACTACATCACTGTAATGTTCCTGAGGGCTGATTGCTATGCCCAGATGATCAGTTGGAGCTTTCTGCCTGAGCCAATCTATGGTATAATTGAAGAGGAAGGAAGAGGAACAAAATTCAACCTGGTTTCACCCCACTAGTGACGCCAAATTCAACAGAGAGCTTTCCATATGGTTCGGCACAAGTTAGGTAATTTGTATATATGATGCTGTAATAAACTGAATCTCCTCAGTTTCAGTAGCTAGTTCATCCTGCCATCTCATCGCAAATGGAGCAAAAAGTGGCAGCAGGATGAGCAACAGTGAAACCATTTTAGTTTGGCTGGGTAAATCTGGGCCTACAAGCTAAATAGCAGGTTTCCATATGGGATTCAACTTAGCTTTCAAAAAAAGCAACAGCTTCCTCGTTTGATTTCACATCCCTCTTGTAGTTTGCAGAGATGTAGTTTTCCTCAAAAAGCACACACCTTGATTGGATTTTGACCAGGGTTGTTGCAGCCCCTCTTCAACCCAAAAAGTGAACTCCAGTTAGTTTAGCACAGAGAGGCAATGTGGTGCCCCCAACTGTTGTGCCCTCCAGTTCCTATTAGGCTCAGCCAGTGTGGCTATGGTCAGGGATCATCACTTCTGATGATGGCAACTATCCTCCAAAACGTTGGAAGGTCAATGTGTTGGCTACCCTTGGTTTAGGAGTCATTTTTAAGACTGCCAGTACTTCCACATTAGAGTAGCAGGAAGGCAATGCACTCTATCCTAAGAAAGTGAGTTTAGAGGAGAGGGGTGAATTCTCCACTCAGTAAATGCCCATGGATGTAAACCCACATTCTTTGCTACCTATGATCTAATTTAGAAGGAACAAACAATGGAAAGTTGCAGAGTATCCTTGGTGTGCATATGTTACCTGAGCCAGTGGATGAGAAAGTTGAAAACACAAATGTTAACCTCAAATTCACATCATACTTCATGTGCAAATGGTCTATTTTGTCCTTGTATCATGCACAATTCATTTTTTTGGCTGGTTGGCTGGCTGGTTTGGGGACTTTTAAAAGTGCAACCAGTCTGCTTGTAGGTCAAGGGTGTCTTCTAAATTTAACAGAGTACTTTGTTTTTGCTACATTCAGTCTGCTTCATAATAGCATTTGTTGTATCTGGGGAGAGCAATCCAAGCCGCAGATTGAATGGAATGTTAAACTATGGGAGTTCCAAACCATCCTCAGATTAAGGGATTTGCAGTGGCAGCTAGGAACGTGTGTAGGACAAGCCACTCACATACATCTGTGTGAAATCAATATGCGCCCCATCATGGCTGATTAACTGCAGACCAAAAAACAGGTTGGACCCACAGATGCAATGGAAACATGACAAACCAAATAAACTTTTAATGTATATGTTATAAGAGCTGGTGCTCAATGTATTTGACTAGAATGCAGAAGGCTGGGCTCCCTGTGGCAGCCTAGACATGAGCATCAGTTATTAGCTTCCCCATCAATAAAAATATAAGAATAAGAATAAGAATATTATAATGGCCATTGTACAGGCAAGCAGACTAACTGCTGTTGGAGATGGACATATCCATATTTTCTCAGTTTCTCATTTTTCCAAACTTAGGTTTTCCAAATCTCTACATGAGTTTACTTTAAAAAAAAGCTCTCATGGAAATTCATCAACATTTTAGTGCAAATTTCTCATAATGTACCCATTTTCCTATGCAATTTTGCCTGACATATACATTTTTTGCAAGCAGCTTTCCCCATAATATATTGCATGTTTGTATCTTATTTTCACTGATGTGTGCATTTTTATGTACAATTCTCCTAACGAGTACATTTTTATGCAATTTTTTGCTTGGAAGTTTCAGACAAGTGAGAATTAGGTAAGTCCACAATAAAACCCGAACCAAACTGAGTTTCTCCTCCGTCCCTGAA